GGTAGATTTATACGTCACAACTGGACGCTGTTGTGTAAGCTCTTCTGCCCTAACTTAATTGAAATCCGATATAAGTTTTTATGCAACTTGGCCCTCCTTTACCGAAAGGAAATCTCTCCCTTTGACCATGTACAGCTGATCATTAACTCGTAGGACTCTCCCTTCGCTCAACGAAGGAAGCTAACCCTCATCAACGGGAAGGAATTCCTTCCCGTTGATGAGTTCAATCTTGGCTCATCAAGTTCAACCGGAAGGAATTCCTTCTGGTAGATGAGTTCAATCTTCCTCGTCAACTGGAAGGGATCCCTTCCGGTTGATGAGGGATATCTTCCTCATTGACCGGAAGGAATCCCTTCTGGTCGATGAGGTTTAGCTTCCTCACTGACCGGAAGGGGTTCCTTCCGGTCAAGTGGGAGGGAGCAACTCCCAAACCCCCTCATACATGAGGGGTGGTTTGGGGAGTCAACTCCCAAAAAAAAATAAAAAAAATAAAAATGAAATTCGGCGGACGACTCCCAGAATCCGTCCACACTTTAGAAGACGACTCCCAACAGACGTCCGCTGACGGTTGTTGGCAAAAAAACGGGAGTCGTTTTTCCAAGTCCCCACATATATTGATGAAAAAAGAAAATTGATTGCAAAGAGAGAATTGACAGATGAGTACAACAGATTCAGATTTCTTTGGTATTGATCTGTTGAGGATATTCTAAGCAAACAGCTTTCTGTCTTTGAAATCATGGTTTCCTTTAACTTACATAATCTAGGATTCATCTTCGATGGCTGATTGATGCATAATGAGATTGCCAAGCTGCTTGAAATCGAACAAGTGATGCAGTCCTATGGCAGAAGAGGGCCCAGAATAGAACAAGCGGAAAGTCAAAGGGTCGAATGTAAGCCCCAAAAGACTCAGGGTAAAGGGGGTACAGATTTGTCAAAGCGCTGTTGGATTCCGGTGGGTTGGAAGATTATCCATCGATTCGACTCCGAGATCAGAAAAAAAAAAAGAATCGTAGATCAGTCAAAGGTACCGCGACGAACGATCAAAAGGAGCAGACAATCGTCATGAGCAAACCGGATCTCGTCACGCAATCCTATTCGACAAGGGCATCGATCCATCCAAGTCCGATAGCCCGACGGTTATTGAAGCTCATGGACGACAAACAGTCCAACTTATGCGTCTCAGTTGATGTGACCAACAAGGCTTCATTCCTCAGAATCGTAGAGGCCGTCGGCGATCATGTGTGTATGATCAAGGTAAGCTATTTTCCCTTCCTCCCAAAAAAAAACATTCACAGCTCAATCAGTCACATTTAAAATTTTTTGTTTGTTTGCTTGTTTGTTTGATGTTTATGTAGTAGACTCACATCGATATTATCGACGATTTCGATCAAGATCTCATAGAAAAATTAGTCGAACTTAGTCAAAGACACAACTTTATGATCTTCGAGGATCGTAAATTTGCTGATATTGGTAAGCCATGTATTTTATGTTTTTTGAAGCCCCATTGTATATGCTTTTATGAATATATCTATGAAAAAAATCAGTTTCATTAGTTTCAAACAAGAGCATTAACATACCAAAATTGTTTCATAAAATCCTATTTCTTAGGGAATACGGTTAAATATCAATACTCATCAGGAATCTACAAGATTGCCGAATGGTCAGACATAACGAATGCGCACACGGTTCCAGGAGAAGGAGTGATCACGGGCCTAGCAGAAGTCGGAATCCCGAGAGGGAGGGGACTATTATTATTAGCGGAGATGTCGAGTAAAGGGACGCTTGCCAAGGATTCTTACACGGTGGAGACGGTGGAGATGGCCCGAAGACATCCCGAGTTTGTCATCGGATTTATCTCCCAACGAAGGCTCGAAGGCCTCGGAGTCGAGGCCACCACACATCAATCCGATGGTGCCCGACCGGAAGACTTCTTGGTGCTCTCCCCAGGCGTCGGTCTCGATGTCTCCGGCGACCAACTCGGCCAAAACTATCGCACTCCAGACCAAGTCGTCTACCAAAGCGGAGCCGACGTGATCATCGTCGGCCGGGGGATCTACGGTCAACAAGATAAATCCGGCGATTCTAATCAAGCAATTATCGCTCAAGCCATTCGATATAAACAAGCCGGGTGAGAAGCCTCATTTGACTCTTACTAGGATTTGGCGCTTGGCACTAATCTTTTGCTGCTTGAAATGTTCTTTTCAGCTGGGAAGCCTACCTCAAACGGCTGGCCTCACCTCCTTGACATCCTAATGAATGAGTTGGCAACCTTGATCCTTTTTTTTTGGGCAGAAATAAACTGCAGCCCCGAGATTCCCACTATCGAAAACCTGTCTTTCGTGTCTTACAACCCGCTTTTTCTTTTTTTGCAAATTTTGGAATTCAATGTGAATGTTTCCTACATAATTTTTTCTTGGGGACTAAAGTTGATTTTGGACTTCGGATTGAGCTGTTGAAGAAATCACCTGCTGATAGTCAGTAATAATCAGCTTGCGTTTTTTTTGTTGGTGGAAGCTGGAAGCAAAGCAAGTGATAACGATGTGCATTTGAACAGCCATTCAACAAACAATTGTGACTGTGCATGTATAATCAAGTTGGCTGAGGTAGTGAGATGATAAAATGACATCGATTTCAAGCTGTTGCAACATTCCATTTTAGCTCAGCTGATCTCGTTTGGGCGAGCATCAACTTAGATTTGAGAGAGCCGATCGAGGTCCACTAGAATATATATTATACAACTGATGTAATATGGCTACATCATCATCCTTCGTTACACAATGTATATTTACACATCTGCCTTGAGGAAGCAGTGGAGGGATAGCAGAACGTCGCGAGAAAGAAGTAGTGCTACAAGGATCTTTGGATAAGAGTACACACACACATCGATATAATGAAAATGCAGATAATGGGTGGTGAAGAAAGACTAGTAGGATTGGAGACTCCCAATCTTAGAGTTCTGACAAGCGCGAGCGATGTTAGCTTGGTTAGCAGAAAACCAATCGAGTTCGGACTGGCCAATCAACCGAGCCTCGGCGTTTGAGTGTTCAGGTTCATGCCAATAAACCAAAGGGTAAGCCACACGAACGACGTCGTATTCGGCGCCCAGGATGAGATACCGCATGAGCCACAGGATCGGGTAGACTAAGGTGATCGACAGTATGAATTTGATGAACCCCGAGAGGGAGAAGATCTTCGAGACAAAATTGACCGGGCGGACGAGAATTTGAGATGAAGTAGTGTAAAAATCGACTGAAAAGTGCGTCGAGCTCAGATGAGGGGTTGAGTTGAGTAGTTTAAGTAACTCTAGTTGTGAAAAAAAATTAAGACAACCAATAGTTCCATTAACAACTGTTTTCGATGGAAAACAAGATGGCGATTGATCTTTTTCTATTGCTACTCTAAAGAATACGTAGATGGAACATACCTTCTTCCAAAAGTGCCAAGTTCCATCCAAACACGGCCTTCTCAACTCGAAGCTCTTTCAAGTACTTATTATTGGCACAATAGTCATCACACCATTGTCTCAATTCTCTTTCCACTTTAGCGGACTCTTCTCGGTTGGGCTTCTGATGACGATAGTATCCTCTCCTGACAACTGAGTTGAAGTAGTTCAAACATTTATCCGACCAGTGGGGTCCTAACAAATGATCAGGTGGTCGGCTTGGTTCACACGAGAAGGCACTGCGTGGAAACATCCAAGAGGCTGTCGGAAGGAATGATCCATTCAATCGCAGGAAAAAAAAAATCAGAATCCCAAGATATTAGCAATCATTTGGCAAGCTTTGAAGTACTGAACTAACAATAATTTACGATCAATGTCGAATGAGAGAAACATACTTACGCACAAAGGGCGGGTACCCAAATCGTTTAGTTTCATCGGCGATTTTATCAGCCTTTCTTCTTTCTTTGAAGCCCACTCTTGTCCTCCCTCTTCCCGGTAGATCTGAACTTTCGTGTTCATTTGCAAGTTGGTTTAACAGTCCCAAATCTTTGCCATTTTCCCATCTCCCTCGTTCACGTCGATGTCGTCCTCGACCAACCACCTCACCATCACCAACAATGTATAGACGTCGGATCCCATGGTCTAGAGCTGGTTCAGCTGCCGCCTGCATTGTGAAGGAGAAATCTGTAACGGTTTGACGTTGTTCCCTGGTGCGATATTCAGTCCGCCCTATGGTTATCGATGTTTATAAAGGAGGCAGTTAGGCTGAAATGCACTACTTTCAGGGTGAGTGGGCCATTCAAAACCAAGACGTTCTAGCTTACCATTCACATATTCAGTCGTGGTTTCCGTCCTCAGATCCTCATGAGTTCCACTCAATTTCACAATCAATTCGGGCGGTGATGATATATGTAACAGTATGAATCGACACAAAGCCTCCCCATCCGTATTGAGATGTGAATCATGGCTAGATATATGCAGGAAAGGGGGAAAAAAATCAAAGGAAACAGATCAGCCTTCAATTGATAAACATATGCACCCAAAAAGTCAAAATCACTTCAAACCTAGTGATATTCCCTAGCTTGTCGGCCGTATATGAGGCTTGATAGACCGAAAACTCGGGAGGTTGGGTATCATTTGCTGACTGTCCGGCTTCCAAGTCACCAGCCAACGGACATGGGGCTGAAGATGTAGGAAAGAATCCCGAGGGCTCGACAGATTTCCCAGACAACGAGGGATCGAGTGCCGACGACTGCTGCTGGTAGGTGGCGGCTGATGAGCCGGATGGTTCGTCTGAGTAACGGGGTGGCTCGTCTGAGTCTATTGAGTCGGATGAGTGGCGATGGATGTGATGGCCATCGGACTTGGTCGATGACTGAACCTTCGACATTGCTGTGAAGAAGTTGGCTGTGAAATGATTGTCGGAGTTCAAGGCGGAGGGATCGGCGGGGGGCTTGGATACTCCGACTCAAGGTTTACCGGCCACGGCGCATGAGCCGCGCAGTAGGCGGCGCGCACAGGCCGGCCCTGTTGCCCCTCTCTGCACATGGACGCGGGCCGCACCTCGCGCCAAGAGTCATCGGGATTGTTTTTCTCAGCTAACTTCTGCTGGCTGGAGGATTGGTGGGAGAAAGCTAGTCAATCTTTGCTCTTGAATGACTACCCCACCAGTTGACGATGGCAACGACTTGATCGACTCAAGAAGACAAATGGCTTTCATGTTTAGCACTTCGTCTCGCAACGCAGAAAGGTGTAAAAACATTGTCCAATTCGTGATTGCTCATTTTTCAGAAATGAGGGAAACAGCATAGCGGGATTGGTAATACATGAAGAAAATGAGCTGGATTCAAGGAAACATGCAAGACTTCCTGCGGCAATGCCAGAAGAGTAGCACTTGATAGATTAGAAAACCTCGCTCATACTGGAGGGTTTTTGGCAGCACTGTTCCGGAGTATGGATGGGTGAAATCAAGCAATCAATCAACATCGAGGTCAAAATCTGAAAGATAGAAGTAAAATGTAGGCAATAATATACGCACAAGTCCCAGGCTTCAATCTCAACCTTACCGGGATCATTCTTGTCGTCTACATTTCCACCGAGTTCCGTGTACAGCTAAAAGCATGAAAAATTAAGTATCTTTAGTTTGGATTTCGAAAAGGAGAAGTGACTTTGGCGAGCTACTGACCACTTTGGTGACGTAAATCGCGGAGCAACCTTGTGCAGTAGTGACCGGGGGGCCGTCCTCCGCGAAGCCACAACCATCAACGATCTTTCCCCTAACGTGCTTCTTCCCTTGTTTGATGATACTATCAAAAAGGATAAACATAAAACAGTTTCTCGGTTAAATATATTCAGTGGAGCTTTCCGATTCTACCCTCTTATAAACATACACATGAAGGTTGGTTAGTAGACACTAGACTCACAATTGCTTGCCGCAGTTACTCTTGTCATCGCTATTTTCGGGAAGAGATAAAAAAAGGTCAGTCGGCAGCTCCTAGGTTATTTGAAATCTTGGTTCACTGACTCGGTAAGCCAACCTGGAGTTAAGCCTTTTGGCGTAGGCGTCCTGGGATTATCGCCGATCCACAGGCAGGCACCTCTGGTCGTGTTGGTGTAAGTTTCGCAAATCTGTGAGTTGAGATTGATCGATTTTTTTCTTAGCATTGTTCTCTGAAAGGATAATAACTCTTTCCGTTGAAACAGTCAAAGGTTTGACATATCGCTTACACCCTTATCTGCCGTTAACTCTCTGGTTGGGCGTCCCGACTCCTTCTCCTTGATCCTCCAGGATGGAACCATTGGACCTCCGGATTTCATCTGCGGCAAGTGTCAAAGTTTAGCGAGAAGCCGTACTCTGTGGATTAGAAGAAATCAGGTAGACTCACCAATCTGACGGTTACAGTCATTTTATTTCCTTGTTTCTTATACCATCTCCCACAAACAGTAGTGCTGGAACTAGTGTTAACTAAAACAGTCAACGCGGTGACAAGCACTAGTAAGCCTTTGAGTTGGAAAATCATTCTTGAAGGCAGTTCGTGTCTGAGAAGTGAAGGATATTGATGGTGATGAGGTTTGACTTGGATGGAAGCTCTATTTATATTCCTCAAAATATGGGCTCGCACAGTACGATAGGTATGTATCCAGTCATTCCTCTCGAATTTGGAGCACAGGGCCGAGCCTGTTGCAGAAGTCCTGTACAGATGTATTATCGAGAAAAGTCCTCATCGAAATACTCAAATCATCCGATCAGGGTTGATCAGGTTCACATTCTGGTTCATAATTATTTGGAATTTAAATTCAATTAACTGTACAACTTTCTTGGCTGCACTGCAATGATTTTTGTTGTATGCTGCTGTATTTTCCTGGCCGGCTCCTGGGACTCGCGGCGGGTGGATCCATATGTTCCTTTGAAAACGCCTTCATGGGACTGACAGTGTCCTCAATTCAACTAGGTATACAACTGCCGATTCCACAAGACATTTCATCGACTCATGATCCACTCCAGAGCGGATCTTCAGAATGCGACTGCATGGGTCTGGGTTATACCGTTACACTCATATCCAATATCTCAGTTAGGGCGATATAGCGCTGGTTGTGCCATCACTCAACGAGTCGCTGGCCGTAGAGCGCGTACGCCATACAGTTGCATTCTTCGGCTGCAATCAAAGTGACATTCCATTCAACGAGTGATATCAGGCCGCTCGGACGCTTCACAAATCGCGGCTCAAACATCGCGGCCGGGAGACCGGGGATTTGCAGTTGCGTGATGAAAAAAGTTAAGGGTCGGCCTTCCGACACCTGCAGAGCCCCGCCCACCTGATGGGCATATCGCCAACGGGGTCAAATAACATGCGGATGGCTGAAGCGGATTTGTGAATGAAGTGCGTGGTGAGATAGAGGTCAACTCCGAGAGACCGGGGATGTACAGTTGCGTGATGAGAGTAGCCTTCTGAAGCCGGCCTTTCTGCACCTGCATCTCGCCGTCTACCTGATTAACAGCACCGAGGAATATAACTAACCGGGTCAAACATTTACGCGGAAGGCCGTAAGGGCTTTGCGAATGAAGTACGTGATGAAAAAGAGTTCAAAATAAGACGCAAGCTTGAGGAGGTTTGAGAATCCAAGATTTACAAATAGAAATTTCATGGGAGCTCTAAGAGCGCGATTGATCCAAGTTCAACGGATAAAGCAAAGAAGCGACGCGTATAGAGATATGATGACTTGAGCAACTTGAGTGAAATCCCGGAGCCCGGAGGGTATCCGCGGCATTGCATTTTCTTAGCAATCGCGTCTCTCTTGCTGTGAAAAATTAGCTTGAACGTGTCGCAGCGAAACCCAGATGCAGTCTAATTTGCAGGGTTCACATTTGGCCATTAGAATTTAGATGATTTCATCGGGCAAAAACCATAATGTTTAGGTATGACTCCTTGTCAAAGATTTGCTGGAAGCATTAGAGCAAAGTCGAACCAGCTTCCGATAAACATGCCATCGAGTTTTCTGGTTCAGAGAGCAGCTATTGCATGACGAGATGTTTATCAAGTGAGGCTAATGGCGCGCAGCTTGCGTGAGATGTTTAAATATTAACAAATTTCAGGCCAGCCAAAGAATATCAACAAAATTCAGGCTGACAACATTGGGGTATAACAACGATCTGTTAAAGCTAGTTTCTAACAAGGTTATGCGAGGGAATTCTTCATTTAAATCTTATATACTTCCACAACGGATGAAAATGGAGGAAAAGCATAGCGAAAGAAGCTATAAATTTGCATGTTTAGAAACAATAATTGACAATTTTTTTGGGGGATTTAGGTGTATTTATATGATGGTTGCAGACATGCCGACATTCCAGGAAGCTGGAGTTCAATAGATTTAAATAAGTGCTGAAATGATAGTTCCCGAACTAACGATGAAGCGATAGTCCCGGTAGGTGAACCAGAAGGTTTAAATAAGTGCAGAAATGATAGTTCCCGAACTAACGATGATGTTGGATGGAGATGAATGGGAGCCGGGGAAGCCAGCGGCCAATTAATAATCACTGGTAAAGTTTGACTGAGGCAATCTCCTTTAAAATATGAATAGAAGATGTGATCAGCACAGGCAATGTGATTGATTCAGGCTCAGACAAACGTACCCAATTGGCGTCTTTGTAATTGGTTGGATCCTTTACCAAATCAGTGCATGATCCGGAGCAGGCATTGTTGGCATTGAAAACGCCAGCAGAGCCAGCCCAATCTCCGCAAAGTGTCTGTTTCGGAAGCGGAAGATTCAATTAGACTGCTTGCGTTTAGGAGATGATCTATAGGACTTACGATGTCAAAGATGATGCGATGTTCTGAGAACTCGTCGTTCATGTTGTTGCAGATGTCGCTGGACCAATGCGCAACTGGACGAATAGGCCAAGTCGAAGGTTGAGGAGCGTGTCCTGACTGAAGATCTCGAGGAACTTCTCCACGGCTGAAACGCCAAATGGAGACCCCATTGGGGGACCACTCCATGGCGAAGACACCTCCACCTGCCTGGTTAAATGGCTGGCCGTACGATGCATTGGAATGGTCGTGAACCCCACAACCTAGGTTGGCTGGCGTAGCGCAATCAATGGAAATGAAGAAGAGGTATCAGTGGGGCGTAACCTAGTAGTAATACGCGCCAGACGTGAAAATGCGATGCCTTACAGGATGCATAAACGTCGCAATCGGGATTGAGAACGTTGCCGACAGCAGCTTGCAACATTGGGTTTTGGATGGTACACCCAGGTCCAGTGTGAACTGTGAGTTCGGAAACAATTGATGACGTGATGAGGACCCATGAATGTAATTTAGGGATAAACATAAAAGGATGGCTCACGGGTCATTTGGTTGGTGTTTAACATGTTAACACCTTCAACAATGTCAATCTCTCCATCGTGAGGCCAATTGTTACCAACGGTCCAGACTGGAAATCGAAATCATAGTAGTATTTAAGCTTTAAGTCAATTTTTGCCCTTATGACCAACGAACTTACAGGCGGGCCAGGTAGAACAGCCGAACGGCATCTTGAGGGCGTCCAAAACGAGAAGACCATACTTGAAGCTTTTCTTAGAGGAAAGACGAACCGATTTTCGCGCTTCGCCTTGAGCAAGCCAGTTGGTTTTGTCTACTTTCATCTTGGCAGTAATCAAGTTTTTATCGTGTGAGCTGGGACCAACAGAAACAAGACCTTGTTTCCAGGCCTCATTGACAGGCTGGTAGGCCACTTGCCCATGGGTTGGATCCGCTAAAGAAACAAAAAATGACTGTCACAAAAAACGTTCAGGAAGCGCTTCATTTAAAAATAGAATGACCCTCACAATCGGAGAAGAAGTCCCAATCATCAAAAAACTTGTTTCCGGAAGAGCTGAGGGTTAAGTTGTATTTTTTACCCTGTGAGTTGGGCTCCCTTCCGTAACCAAGCTGGATGGGGAGATCCAGGCCGAGTAAGTTGGAGTTGGGGTTGTAAGATCCGGAGCCGTAGTCCCCATTGTCATCTTGGGCGCGGAGGTAAGAAGGCTTGGAGCCATAGTCCCCATCGTCATCTTGTTTGCGAATGTAGGAAGGCTTGGACCCATAGTCACCATTATCCACTTGATCGCGAAGCTTAGAATGCTTGCCACCACGGTGCGGGCGATGATGGTGAGGGCTTGAGCTTGGGGCACATTCAGCCGAAGTGTATGATAAATCGAGTAATAGGAAACAGCCGATGAGGAAGGCCGTCGAGAGCACCTTCGTTCTTGACATCTTGACCCGGGGTTGGATATTTCTGATGGGTGATATTTTTTAAATATTTATGCGTCAATGGACATGTATGTGGTGATGGGTCTTGTTACAAACAGAAGGATGGTGGTATGAGTTGACCGAAACGGTTTCTTCGAGTAGCGTTGCGAGAGAGCAAGAGAAGATGTTGGGGTGAGCTAGCAGGGGGGAAGCGAGGTGCGGACTGAGAGATGATGGGGATGGATGGCCTGGCTTTAAGGATGGTACTCTGGTCATTCCAAAGGTCAATGCACTTCGAGCAGCCTCGTGCTCTGTCCCTTCGACTTCCCAGTCCAGCCTGACTTATTTTGTTTTGAAGAAAGCTTGGACTAGGATGTTTAGCAAGCTCGGTTGAAATCCGTGGAATTTGATGTTTTAAGTTTTGCTGTTATCCTTTTTTTTTGTCTCATGGAATCAAGGATGGTGGCATGATTGGGGCTCATAATCGCCACAAAATAGGCATCACTGTGCACTTTTGGTCGGACTGAAGATATGCATTCCCTAATCCCCACCCTTCTGTCCCAAAAACAGTGGGAAACACCAGCAGTTGATTGCATTTCCGGGACTAACGTGGATAAAATATCCCCTATCGGTTTTGATCTTGTGGGAAGGGGGAAATGGCGCTCCGCTTCCAAGCCGTCATGGCATGCCGCTTCCGAAAACTGGCGGAGTCACCTAATCGAACCTCCGCCCAAAGGAATTCCTTAGGTACCTTCAGATTCCCAATTCCTTTCCTTGGGACCGATTCAAATGTGTCCTTGTTAATTTTTTTGGGTCGATGATCTTGCAGCCACAACTGGTGCACTGTACCATTTGATCTCTACGGCCTCGACCGGACAGGGACAGCCAAACGAGCCTTGGCACCTGGTCAAGTCGAAAAAGAGCTTTGTGATTGCCGTCGAGGCGGCATCATGAATGACTTTTGATGAATGTCGACAGAAGGTTGCTTCCTAATGTTTAAGAGCACCGCGGCCGTGGCCTAAAATGTTCGGCAATGAGATGACCTAAGGTGTCTTGAAAGGTGAAAACGGCACTCTAGTTCATGATGCAGACGGCAGACCCGGTATTCGAACCAGCCCGGCAGTTAACCTCAATGGTCGAATTATTCCTTTCTTCACATATGCTGAAAAAAAAAGAAACAAGCAGCAGTGGAATCCTCCTCACTCATGAACACCTGGTAGCTGCTGACCGAGGAAATTCCTCACCGGCAAGTGGCCATGTATTGTGGGGTCAGATTTCTCCTATCCAAATACTCATCCCGTCAAGCAGCGCCAGCTGCAAGGAGCCCGGCAACCGGCTAAAACACACCACGCAAAGAGCGCATCTCGACTTGAACTACAAAATAAACGCCAATATTCTACTAAACAACCCTAGCCTTAGGGCATTCAACGCACCTGCTTCTTTCGTCCCCATGTCGGCCAGACTACCACAATTAAGCTGGCCTGGGGACCAGCTCGATCCCTACTAAGACCTGGCTTCAAGCACTCCCCTTTCTCTTCTTCCGCTTTCTCTTCTTTGACCTTTACATATAATAATGGTTTTTTTTTTCTCGAATCTGCTCTCAGGCGCGCCGGATTATGTCTAAGATGGTCCTCATGTCATTCATCCTTCACAGAACTTTACCCGTGGCAACAGTGGTTGCAAGATTAGATATACATAGTGTGCAATGCTAAATCAAATCTGCAAAAACAAGGTCACCAGGGTCTTTGAAAATTGAGGTCAACCCAATGCTCCGCGCGCCGGGGTCAGACCTCGGGGCTTCATTTCGGGTCACAGCCTTAATTGTTTACATACTGCACCACTGACCAGTTTGCGGATCAGAGGATACACACAATATTGTTTGCGTACAAGAAACAGGCCGTTTCGTCAACTCTGGGATCGAAAGAAGAAGTACAGTGTGGTTAATGCAAGCCGAGATGCAACACCTTTTTCGATGATGAAGCACCCTTCACAAAAAATTACATCGGAAGTTTGAATAAGATATTTTGGAATGCGAATAGTGAAGTTGTTGAGAAGAATTTAACAGGTAATACAAACAAAGGCTATCGTTGGGATAGCATGGATGAGATAATTAGGTTGATGGTTCTTCGGTAGACGTTGAACAAGCTGGTTGGGAGGAGGGAAGCAAGCTGGATTGATTTAACGCCCTAAGTAAATGGTCTATTTTTCTGCGATTTTCTTCGAGTCGATCCCCGATTTTCCGCTGTTCAACATCGAGACCTCTTTGAGTCAACTGGTGATCGAGATGGAGCAACTGGACAGCACTTTTGACAGCAGCTGAGAGGTTCGTGGGTTGTTCGGGTCGTTCAGACGGTAGAGGAATGTGGACTTGGGCCGGTGATAGTTCCTCTAGGCTTCCGTCGGTCGTCGTTGCCTTCGATGATAGTCGTCTTTCAAATTCACGGTCCTTGCCCAAACAACCCAAATCATCAAGTATCTGCGCCTTGTTCAAGATCGGCAGGCCACGTTGTTCAGATTCGGGAGTAGGTGCCATCGAACTAGGTCGTGTCTGTCGATGTTGCGATTTATAATTGGAGGGGGTTGTCTCGACTGTTTGGAGGTGTGCAAGTAGTTGGAGAGGGTTGTATTCGGAGGGGTGTTATTTACATCATAGAGGAGGCCAGCGTCCAATCAGGCCCCTCTCGTGCGCAGCTTATGCAAATCGGCTGATGCAAAGTGGGCAGTCTCCTGCGCTCCCTCCTCTTTTTTCCTGTTGCCTCCGCCAGAATTACACAGCATCCTTCCCTCTTGACCAGAACAGCAGCTCAAATATCGGACATGGAAATAGATGCGGATACGACCCAATACATCCCGACCGCCACGCAGGTCGGGCACGTCCTCTGCGCTGATTGTGGTAAGTGGACTGTAGCCATCTCTCTCCTTGAACGTCTTCAAACTCGTACTAAAACGTATTTTCACAGGAACCGCAATCGAACCCAACAGCGCTGGACGATGTGTCAGCTGTTTGAGAAATACGATCGACATCACTGCAGAGATTCCAAAGCAGAACACTCTCAGTTTCTGTAGAAATTGCTCCAGATATCTTTCGCCGCCGTCGGCTTGGTTGCTGGCCGAACTAGAAAGCAAGGAACTACTGGCGATCTGCTTGAGAAGACTCAAGGGCTTAAGCAAAGTCCGACTGGTCGATGCTGGCTTCATTTGGACTGAACCTCACAGTAAACGACTCAGGGTAAAACTGACCGTTCAACAGGAAGTGAGTCAAGGTGGTCCTTTGATTTGAATTACGGGAAGACCCTGATAAACAGCAGAATAAATTGGCCTTCTAATCATATATGCAAACTTCTCATCCGTTTTCAGGTTTTGACTTCGACAGTCTTGCAGCAAATCTTCGAGGTGGAGTATGTGGTTCAGCATACTCAATGTCCCGCTTGTTGTAGATTGGCCGCCAAGAATATGTGGCGAGCGTTGGTTCAAATACGACAGAAAGTCAATCACAAACGTACTTTCTTGTATCTCGAACAAATCATCCTCAAGCACAACGCGGACAAAGATACAGTGGCGATCAAAGAGTCAAAGGACGGCCTCGATTTCTTCTATGCCACCAGGCAGCATGCCCTCAAGATGGTCGAGTTCTTGAACGCCATCGCCCCCGTGCGGTCCAAGTCGAGTGAGCAACTGATTTCGGCCGATGAGAAGAACTCGACGGCCAACTACAAATTCACCTATTCCGTCGAACTCGCACCTATCTGTAAGGACGACATCGTCTGTCTACCGCCCAAGTTGGCTCGAGCTCAGGGAAATATCTCTCAGTTGCTAGCCTGTACTCGTGTCGGCACTTCGATCCATCTCGTTGATCCAATAACCCTACAATTCGTCGATCTATCTGGTGTCCTGTATTGGAAGAACCCGTTCCCATCTTTGGCATCATTGGGCCAATCGATTGAATTCGTCGTGCTTGACATCGAACCCACCTGTCATCCACCCGTGACCTGTGGCCGCTTCATTCTGGCCGATGCTCAGGTCTCGCCGGTCTCGTCATCGATGAACGACGATGTGATCTTCCATACTCGTACTCACATGGGCGGTATTTTGAAACCTGGTGATACAGTCCGTGGTTATCATCTTGCCAATTCAAATTTCAACGATCCCAGCTATGACGCTCTCAATCCGAGCCGGATTCCTGAGATCATTCTCGTCAGAAAGACTTATCCGAACCGCCGAAAGAAGAACAAGCCTCGAAACTGGAAACTGAAGTCGATCGCCATCGAGGCGAACACCACCGCAGAAGAACACGTTGGTCTAGGCCGAGGTAAAATTGATGCGGCTAGCAAGAAGAGTGGGAAAGGAACAGCAGAACAAGCCAAGGTTGAAGCGGAATACGAAATGTTCTTGCGAGACTTGGAGGAAGATCCGGAACTTCGTCAAAATGTACAATTGTTCAAAGCCCAGCCAGCTAGCAAGAAACTTCCAGCAGACGCCATGGACCTCGAAGGGGCAGATACTGAATCCGTGGCTGAGACTGAAATGGATGACGACGATTTCCCCAAGATTCAATTGGACGAACTGCTCGATGAAATGGATGGCTTGAATCTCAACGAAAATGGGACAGAAACTATAGCTGAGAATGACGATGAAAATGTTGCTCCTTGATTTTGTTTGCTTTTGGTTGGAGTTATCTAACGCTTCCTTGCTGATATACAACTCATCTTTTCTTATGTGTCGAGATTGCAATTTTTATCTTTGTGGACTGTCTTGACATTCATGAACCTTTGATTTCTTTTGTTTTTCATATCGATCAGCACCCCATTTGTCTAAGAATGAAACGCTCCCCTTAATTAGCTTAATCAACCATGCTGAAAATACTTCCAGGTGTTGCTGTGGTAGAAGCCATCCCCTGTGTTTAAGCACAAGACCACCATGGGAAAAAATTTCGAGAGAGGTTGAAATTATCGGATTTTGAATCTGTTGATGTTTAACTTCTGCAATGTTCGAGTTGTTCCTGACAAAGGATACAGCGTAGGAGCGAGAAAGGGATTTCAGGTCGTGCGCAAAATAGTCAGAGAAATCCCTTGTCCCTAGAGCCCCGGTGACGTCGGCAAGACGTCGAGGATGGATATTGATTCCTGCAAGTTCCCCTTGATGACAGTTTGATCCCAATCTCCCAGTCAACGTGAATAGGTTTGAGGCCCTCTGTTCTTGGGATATGAAAATCCTCAACAAGCTGACAAGTGTTGTAGGCACATTTACCTTCAACTATTAGTGCCATGCTATTGCCAATCTCGATGGAAAGAGCCAAAGGGGCATTTGCTTTAAGATGGGTTTAGTGAGGTTGACGGAAAAGAGTCATGTCCTCCAAATGTGACTTCTGTGAGTGTTGTCTTGGACTCGGAGGCAATTACATAAGCCCCCAAAAAAAGACAAAACTACGTTGGCATCAATCTGATTGTGAAAAAAATAATTGAACATCTGCCAACCTAAATAGTTTTTTGTTGTTTTTAATATCTTTTGACGCGTCTTCTCGCCCGGCGCATTGCATTTGCCGGCGTGTCTTCTGAAAGCATAGCATGCGCCAATCAAGCAAGATCTGTCTTGAGTTAGACGCGAAAACCGAAGACTAAAAAAGAATGTGCTATTAATATTATCGGGTGGGCGCGCTGAGAGATTCCGTGATCTCGGCGTCAAAAGCGTTAAGGCCGTTGAGGTGGGCCATCAGTTTGAATCGAGATTTGTCTTACCATCCCGGCAAGCTCTGGTCGGTTTCGATATGTGTGCCGCCACGCCTGTGATGAAAATCCAGCAGTTCTTTTCGGTGGAGGCCAGCCATCTTGTTGCCTTCAGGCTCCTATATAAGACGGACTTCGGTCCTCGTCTTTCTTCGTTCCTTATCCTTCATCCGCTATCATCACCATCTTTCATTAACCACCTTTAGCACAGAAAAATTAACTCAATATCTTCTCGCGACTTCACTTGAACAATTCTCAAAAAAAAAACTCAACGGTTTCTACAAGATACTCTCTTAGCTTTGCCATTTAAGCAAATCAATCACGTGAGTCTCAGTGTCGCTTTAAAATGTCCAAGTGTTAGTTTTTTGTGTTGCTTTACTGACTTTCGTGGCGAATACTGAGCAGATTTATACCCCAAAGATGTTGTTCCTGGGATTAAACTCCCTACCCCTTTCAGAACCACTCGAGCCTTCAGTTGCTCAACCAATTGTAGTAAAGTAAATCGTCCAGAGGAATGTCTACAGGCACGCCAAGGTTGAGCTAGACATATACCTCCTGTTGGACTCTTAACCAACTGAGAGCAATGACAATCAATCCTCCCTATCCTCCACTGGGCGCCAATTTTGTTCATCAACTGAAGACTACTGGAACGATTGCTTTGAAACTTCAATCTCATTTCATGAATTTATCCCCGCTCACCTTGACACCCCTCTCCGGCTGCCAACAACTCATTGAAATTAAGAATTCAAGCTCTCAGATGCCAGATTTTTTCTTTGCGCATCTCACATGGGAGATTTTTTTACTACTTGTAACAAGTTGAGGCTAGGGTGAGGATCAAACCAGCATAGTTGTGATGATTCTCCTTCGCACCATTCACTTGGGTTTTGATTGCACGAAAGGGCGGAACATGTGAGATAATGCGATGAGAAGGTTTACTTCAACACCGGTGGACTTCAAAACTTGACATGTTGCTATTCTGGGACGCCAGGGCAGATACCACTTCTGTTGAATTGTATGTAAACAATGAGCTGGCTACTTGTCGCATACGATGGTGTATCCATTCGAGCAATGGAAGTGATGCTGGTCCGCAGGTCCATCCGGCGTGGCTGGAATGGCTATTTAGTTTAAATATAATAGTGACATATAGAAGCAGTTGCAGATCATAAATCAGCATATCGATAACATGCTTCAGAGTGATGTAACAAGAGTCATGTAGCACAGTCCACGTACAAGATTGATTCATATCATCGACACATCTGGCCTTGTCGGTGGGACAGTCCATTTCGGCGTCCCCTACAATGGAAGATGCAATGGCGAAGGAGATGGCTAATGATGTAAGGAACTTGAGGTTCATAGCGACTGGGTTCCAAGCAATTCCTGACCAGTTTCGAACAAGAGACAATGCGATGAAACTTTAGCAACGATGTGATGGCGAAATGACATCCCTTCTGCTTACCTTATGGTTGGCGAAATATCACTTTGCGAGTGAATGACAGCGGGAATGACGCTTTGCAAGTAAGCACGGAGTTGAGCAAACTTCGAGTCTTATGTTTGGAGAGTAACTCACGATGCGATTAATTTTAATCAAAGTTGCAGGAGTTGGTGTTGACTCGAATCCCTGGGTCGGGCCCACGCAGACCATGGGGCGCTTTAAATAAAAAGGCGGAGAGCCCGGCTAAACTGGGAAACCGGTTACGGCTGATGCTCGACCGGGAGCAGTTTCGTGGCTTTCGAGTCTCCATGCAAACAATAGGAAGAACGACGCCAGGGCGGCGGCCACATGGGGTGCTATGTAACTTTAATGGCCGGCCGGGAGGAATTCTCCCGGAAGCCCACAGGGCGCAGGTATCACGCCCTATCACGCCAGTAGAAAACTAACTTAACGCAAGTCCCTCCCTGTGCTCGCGGGGCGCGAGCACCCTCCCGCAAGCTCCTACGGAGAGCGTCCCGCAGGGACGCGAGGGGGGTCGGTCCCCCGACTCCCCCTCCGTTCGAGAGGCTTACACAGCGGGACAGGGTCCCGCAGATCCCGTCGGGAAAATATCTGTCACAGTTGTTTCCCTGAGAATTAAACTCATCCGCCGCGAAAATTGACCGGACCCGCCGGATAGGTGACATTTAGGCGACAAATTGTCGTCAAAGTCCAAGAGCCGCCTAAACTTCCGAACTGCAACGCAGGAATGTCCCATAAGGTCAAAAATAGGTTGTTGGGGTCGGGGAACCGGCCAGGAGAGTTGGACAATGAAAAACTCTGTATGTTCCTGCTCTTGACGGGTGAGTGTTGCGAGTAAGACTCAGCGGAAGTCAGGCCCACGCCGATCAGGTCTCCGATACTTTAATCAAACCCCAGTCGACTTCCAATACTCACAATTCCAAGCAACCTGTTGACCAGGAAAGCCCTTGTTATTATATGATGGTTTTCAATCCTCGAGCAGATCCACCATTCTCAGTACATGATTGAGTTTTTTCCCTGCCGATCAGGTCCTTTGAAATAATTATACATAAAATTCCCAGTTCAATTTTCCATAAAGCAAAGGGTGGGTTTCGCGTTTGACACCCCAAAGAAACCCACATTGTGGATCTTTGATCCTGATGGCTTTTCGCGGTGAAGATGCAAGAGACCGTTCAGGGTCATTTCATGGAATATGACTTGGTTTCTCCTTCATTTGAACGCCTGGCAGCGACTCAAATGTTGGCTCAACTTCAAAAAACGCCGATGAGGTGTGGGATTCATTGCGTTAGCAGAGAACGAATCCTGCAAAATATTTTAATTAAAGTAGGCGCAGCAGGCTTCTCGTGTTTGGATTTCAAAAACCTAATTCAAGTAGTGTAAAACAACTATAAGATTGGGGACATCTCAATCCCCTCTCGCTCCATTTCTTCCACAAACGCCTCCAAGCGAGCAACCCCTTCACATAACAAGCGGGCAATGCCCAAGGGGAATCCCAATTGATTCAATTCGGCTTCGTTGGTGGCGCGGAAAAAAGTCCAATGGCCAATGCCGTGGACCAGAAGGCGTGCACGGGTACGGAGGTCGTCGCGAGGTATGTGAGCGAGGTTGAGATAGGTCTCCATACGGATTGACTCCATGGCTGCTCGTTCCGGTGGGAAAGGCACACGAGCCACGACGGGGTTGGCATTTGGTTGAGCCAAGGTCGGCGCCGGCGGCATGTGTCTGGGATGGTTTTCTTCAAAGACGTGCTGGTGGTTCGATGTCAAGGGAGCATTGGGTGGGGCCAAAGAACCTGGAGGGTTTGCGCCAACATCCGAAGTGGCTCGAGTGGTGTTAGTGGGGCTTTCGGACGGTTGGATGTTGGGGGTTGACCACAGGGAGTTGTCCGGCCGCCATGAGTACCTCGTGCGCATGTTCCACAACGACAGGTTCACTTATGTGTCGGCCAGCAACATGAGGGGGGCCGGCTCTGGGGTCGGGGGTAGCCTCGCGGTCAAGATCAATGTACACCGGACGGCGACGCCTCCAAGAGCGTCGAGGTGCAACCGGGTTAAAACGGTGAGTTTCGCGGCGAACCATCAGTCCTGCTGTGAGAAGAGAAAGCAAGTCAGGATAACAAGAAAAGCGGGCTGGAAGTTGTGCAAAACCAACCTTTTGCTTTTAATCGGGCTTTTGTTTCCCTGTACTTTGCGCTGGTTGAGGATTGGAAGCAGTTTGGCACTGAGGGTCGGCTTCTTCAAGTGCCCCAAAATGACTGACTGCCTTCGCCTTCTGCGTGAGGCTCGACTCCATCATCAGGCAGACAAAACTCATCTGAGATGAGTCGTTTAAGTGCGTTCCACCCAACGCACAGTCTGATGATTCTGGAGCTAAATCTGGCTGCATGCTGACCAGGGACCGCACAAGAGGTTGATTGACAAAGGACAATGGCAGCCTTGGGCCCCCTCCTTGTGAACTTTTGGAACAGAATTGGAAGACTCCGGAGCAGAAACTGATCACCATCCACTGAAATTAAAAGCATTGAATTTCAAATCATCCATGTAAAAATTCACCTCATCCAAAATTCCAAATTGAATGAGACCTCAGTGACAGTTTTCTGGGTCCATTTTATAAAGCACACAGGATTGACACACCCATCTGAGCATTTTCTAAGTGAGAGGTCTTCTCACAACAGAGCACCCCCTTGAATTGAGAGACATGGACCAGGGGAAGGAATCAAATAACATGAGCAAATGGCCATTATCATTTCAAGCAAAAAAACACATCATGTATAGGGATTATTTGTATGATTCACAATACATTGGTTGGATTTACAGGCCATAAATTGATAGAAAATGGTTGCCCATAATTCTTCTACAATTACATTGAGATGAGTGGCACGTGTTTGGAATTCTGGAATAAGGGGGTTAATAGAATACTTTGTGTATTTGGCAGTGCTGGTATTAACTTATTTATTCAGGAGGGTCTTGAGTATGCTCAAGTCTATGCTTAGATCTGCCGCATGTATTTATTTTGGCGTGTATTATTTATATTCATTTTAGTGTGTTTTATTCATCACCATGTTTTAGATGTGATTCAATGGCATGTTTTATATATGAAGAAAGATGGGATCATTCAGTTGGTTTGTCATCCAAAAATGACAACAATCAAATCAAACTTGGGGCAATGCTACTTGCACGTGTCTGCGGGGTCTGCTGCCTTGCAGAGGATTGCCACCGGGCCCTACCTGTTTCAATGGCAGTTGCCCAGTCAGAAGCATGTGGGATGTTTATTGATGCTAATTTACGATGAGATACAGGATCTCTCAATGATGCTGAATTCAATATGAAGCTCTGGTTATCATTGTGGTGAATCTTGTACGTTGTTTGTGCGCCTTCAGGCTTTTGGCCTTTGTTTCTAGGACCTTGAACTACTGGGCATCTTCCTGATTGACAGTTGTGTTGAGCATTTAGACAGGCAACAATATCCTGTGGGAAAAATTGGTAAGATCAGTTTGTAATAAAGGAGCTGATAAGGATCACACAGTCAAATGTTTGATGAATTTTAGATAAATCACGGACAGATGCTTCAAAATAATCAACACGATTGGCATTTTCTATAACTCTCATTTGATAAAATGGATGGATGGCCCCTTGAGAAAATCTTCTGGCCTTGATGAAATATCTAGTTTGGTTTTCCCTACTAACAGACCAAATAGATTCCACCCGTTCAACCTCTTGAGGGGAGTCTCCAGATGATTTCATCTTGACCTGGAGAAAAATAATATGAATGACATTGTCAGATGTACTGAAATTCTGCTGAGTAGGAAGTAGCTTACCAAGACAAAATATTCTTTTTTGAGAACATCATGTTCAAATAACTTTAACTGGTGAATTTGTTTGATTACGTGATGTGAGAACCTTCTCAGCAAAATGTCAGGCACTCTCTCCATTTGTTCTTTGGGGAGTGGGGTAGGTACAATGGAAGGCCGTTGTTGCTGCTGGGTCACAAGTAGATGATTGTATCCAAGTGACTTTTGTATTAGTGGATTATTTCTGAAGACATCTACAACCTGGCGATCCGCACGAAATCTTCTTTGGCTCCTGCTGTTCCAGTGTAGGCCACCTGAAGTTAGGAGCCTCAAAATCTGATCATTTACAAATCTGGTGGCTATGTCTTTTCCAGGACTATGACGATTAGAATGTATTGAGGCATTCCGCACAACACCATTAAAACTTTCAAAGCGCTCAGTTGCATACAGGGTGGCTGGCCCAAATCTTTCAATGGATTCGGGTAAGTGGAGGAGCATGTGTAGCTTTGGCTTGTTAACCCATTGGCATGTCATCTTAGTAATGTGCCACATGAAATTGTTAATGCATTTTTTGAGGTCTTCCAAATACTCTTCCATATCTTCAATCTTGGTTTGAAAAATGTAAGTGGAAAGTTGGCACAAAGAAACCCACAGAAGGCGTTGCTCATCTGTCATAAACTGATAGAATACAAAGGGGGCTGCCTGCAAAACTATGCGGAAGTGCTTCCCAAGGAAACTCCCATGGTGCTTGGCCATGTTCAATGGGTTTATGGTTTCAATGTTGATTGAGTTTTTGTTGAAAGACTCCCAGGATGCCATCAATCTTTCAAGGTGACATGCTTTTAGTTTTTTCATAAAATCCCCGGTTAAGTATTTCACAACCCCAAGAAGGAATACATGGAGTATTTCAACCGGAGTGTCCTGGCACCCATCAAATCCTGAAATACAACAATGAGGAATTAGTTGATCTGGTATTGAACAGAAAAAGGATCAATTAATCTGATTGAGAAGTTCACCTTTAAGCCTCAACATTGGATTGAAAAGTCTGTCTTGGTCTTCTTCAGTATCCAGCCTTTTGATCCTTTCAATCATTTGTTGATCTTTTCCTTCTCGCATGGTATCCATAGCTTGTTTGTTGATATTATCCTTAACCCCCAAATCTGTGATCATGGTGTCTACCACAGTCTTTGGATCTGTTTTGGAAAGTCTCCACAAGAATTTGGCAGTGGATATTGTTTCAGACCAAACCCTTGGGGGGGGTCTGCACTGCAATCCCAAATACAATGCTTTCAGTCTATTGAACAGATTATGCACATGTGCGTATAAGAGTGATCTTGTGAGGGAATATTTACCACATTTCCTTGGGGGTTACGCCCTATGAAATTCTGGATGTAATGAAGGCTCTTTCGATCTTCAATGCTTCTTGCTTTCAATTTGCACATTCGACAGCAATTCAAGGATGCATTTGGAAGGTGAGTGCTTGTTACCTCGGCATGCATGGGGGAATCCCCCTGGAAGCATAATACAACACTCATGATGAGGACTTCCTGATCCAGCTCATAGTCATGTGCCAAATGTCCAAATGTGGCCAAATCACTAATGTTGAAAAATCTCAGTTACCATTCAATTAGCATTGATTGAAAGGAAAATTACCCACTTCATTTCATCGGTTAATTTATCTGCCAACTCCAAGACACCTGCCTGATTTGATGTTGTCACAAACTGACAGTTGTATTCCTGATTTGCCACATTTGGAGGAAGTCCGGAAAGTGTAAAATAAAAAGAAATATGCTTGTTGAATTGTTTCGAGATGTTGCCAGAAGTGTCATCAGCATACAAGTTGATGGGCATGTGGCGGATGACTCTGCCATTTGCAATAAATCTCCATCTATTTGGCAAAGTGTGAGGCGTTGGATTTCCTATTTCTGTACCAAAAAAACCTAAAACAGATTAAAATTCCCAATTGGTTTTCTGTTTAAATACATAGATTCAACTCACCCCAAATGACTTGCTTGCATGCCTGTACTAAATTTCCAAAATCCCCCCAGACAATTTCAGAGTATATCTTGTCAAATTCCGAAATTTTGATTGTTTTCAGGTGATCAGAGGTGAACTCCAATCCTCCATGAAATTCAATTCTCAGCAATTTTGGGTCCCTTTTGCTTTTTGAAATGAAGGCCTGTGCACATTTGGCGTGGATTTCATTCTTCATTTTAAAGAAGTATAGAGGAATTACAACAGTTCCTGATTTCAATTGGGTTGGTTCAAGAATGTAGAAATGCTTTTCATGGATGACTGCCATTTGCACTCGTTCATATAGCCCCAGTTCTTCACGCCATTTCTTACTTTGTGATAACTTGTAAACATTTTTCCCATGTGTTTCCTCTGGATAGAAATCCAAATGTGGATGCACATATGGATTGGCAATTTCCTAGAGACCGTATTCCAGATTTAACCAATATTAATCAGGATTAGATGTTCGTAAAAATCAGTTTCACAGATTAATATTGTAACATTGGATTCCTCAAAATAAGTTTAGGAATCTGCAATATTCCAAACAGGAATGCTCCAGCAAAGGTATCACTCACATGTTCAAGGATTTTTGGGATACTGACTGAATAACAATGGTTATTCCAAATGCTCACATGTTCTGTGACATCAAAGTCCAAAAGATTTCTCATGCTTTCACAAGTGTTCTTTATAGTATTCCAATGAGGGAGTTGCAACCCTGTGATTGAGAGAATCAGGCGTAATTGGGAATACATGCTTCGGGAAATGGAACGCCTCATGTATCCATTTATCAATGTCCCAATCAGAGCCTACAATCAGCCTAAGTCAGTATATATTTCACCTATACTTGATTGGATATGTAATTTACCTCTCTGTTTTGGTATGGGTACCATTGTGATGTCATGACCCTAGAAGAAGTCTCAATGGGAGATGTTTCCCTTCCAAGGGGCCAATTGTGTGCCAAATTGACTGCTTCAAAAATTGAATCATCCCACTCACCCTCATCTTCAAAATCCACTTCAATTATTTGATTTTGATTTAAAAATGCCACTTCACCTTCCCTTGTGGGCACCACAACCTCCCCATCATCAGAGTTTTCCACGTCACCTGTTTCCAGATGAATGCTTTCAAATGCCAGTGCTGCATCATCCGGATCTGATTCTGTTCCAAAGGCATTCATTTCAGTGTGTGGGTTTGGTGGTTGGGGATTTGGGTTGACCAGGGTGACATTCAAAAGGTGTGTTTGTGTTTGTAGATGTTCATGTGGATTCAAAGTTGTTCTTCCTGGACAGGACAGACATTCATATGTTGTTCTTCCAAGGTTGTGAGCCACAATTCTAAACCCTACATGACCAGAATAAATCCCAAGGCATATTAATGATTATTATGATCCCATTGAATTAAAATGATTTAATCTTTGTTGTTTGGCATTTGTTATTTTATTTTATTTTATTTTATTTTATCTTATCTTATTTTATTTAATATTATCTTATTTTATCTTATTTTATTTTATTTTATTTTATTATGTTTCCTTTTATTTGGTTTAGTTATTTTTTATTGATTATAAAGGAAACCCAATCTTACCTGGTATATCCATTTTCCTGCCCAGGGTAAACCCAAAGACCTCGGGATCAGATCTGTGGGATAAGAAATGCCTGGTTGAACCAGCAAACAGAAGCCTCTTTAAATGTTTTCAAGCCCAATTGGCCCACACAAGCAAATGCGGTCTTTTCAGCCCAAGCAAGGCTGAGGTTTTCCCCGGATGCCCTTTGTTTTTCCCCAACAGGCCCAAACTTAAAAATCTGTCTGAGATGTGAGTCAAATCAACACCAGGCAACACAGGACTGATCGAGATCATGTGTCCTCCATCAGTCCCCAGCCAAGAAAGGCCTTTTTTCGGCCTCCTGTCTGTCATTCCACCAGCCTCTTCCCCGCTCGTTCCAAGGCTATTTTGTTGGCCACTGCGGCAGTTCAATCCAAAATTTATCATCATGTCTCAATTGTTTAACAGCCCCTCGCAATCTCCAGCAGGCTTCGCTGCCCACCCCGGCGAACGGCTGGCTTCAAGCGAGGTGCCTCTGTCGAGTGTGCCATTTCCTTCCCCTGCTGAATTCACTCTCCCCTGCGGAGATGTTCCTGACCCCTGAATGTTCCAGACCGATTCAATCCCCTCAATCGACCGCCAGGATCTGGACCAGGCCGAGGATCTGCTAGAACCCCGCGAGGCTCTTCTCAAACCCCGCAAGGATCTGGAACACGAGGATCTGTTCGCACCCCGCAAGGATCCGGAACACAACGATCTAACCGTGCCCCGCAAGCATCTGGAACAGCGGCAAACAGCTCAAGAGCTAAGGGTAGCACTGCTGCCAGTCGCACTCGCCAAGAGGATCTCAACGACACCAGTGAAGTGGGATGGGGTGCCCCTCCTGTTCCAGTTATCGACCCCCTTCTTGACTGGGGAGAGGAGCCTCGTCAATCGCCATCTCCTGAGAGTTTCATTGGCGCTGGTCACGAGACAGGCTTTGAGCACCAAAGCGAAACCAGGAGCTCCTCAGATGAGGAGCGTTTGCCAAACCCCCTCAATTTCAGTTGGGACACTGCGCCGGCAGTTCCCAATCTTGATCAAGCCGCTCGAGGTGACCTGGTTAGTCAGTTTCAAGCGCAATTGAACTTCTCCGAGAGCAGCCGTGCCCTTGCCAATCGCCTTTTTGCAGTAAGTCCACTCCCTCCCCCCACCCTAACCTACATGATGATGGACCCCAAAACTGACACATCCCCCATAAAAAAATATTTCAGGCCACCGGTGAGGAGAGATGGCGCCTCAGTGTGCTTATGTTTATTCATTTGATGGAAAAAAACACCACTGGTTCCAGCGCGAATAACTTACCCGCTGCTGTCAAGAACCCCTTACCATTTACATTCTCAAACCACATTAAGGTCAGCCGAAATCAGCATAAGAATTTGATTTGCAACTAACTTCTTGGCTGACTCCCATATTCACAGTGCTTCTTGCGAGACAAACTCCGACTCATCTTGACAAAAGGCAATGTTGATGCCTACACTCGAACAATGACAATTGCCGACTCGACCCCCCTCATAAAAACACCTTTGCTACTTCTCAAGGTAAAATCCCGCTAGGCTTTTTTTTTGATTCAGTGATTAACTGCTGACGGGCCTCCTGTTCCTTGAATCAGGGGCATCTTCAATCGCAAGACACATCTTTTCACCAGGATTATTTGCCACCTGGCTACCCTTCAAGCATTGACGCGAGCATGAAGGTCATTAAGCTCATGAGAAGCTTGTTGAAAACTGAGAAGGGCCTCTTTCGCACTCTTGTACGTTCACAGCCCCATTCGTTGCTCTGTCAGCCATGAGAAACCCAAACTCACCCCTCCTTAATATCCTCAGCTGCTCTGCAACATCAAAGAACAGAACCACCGGCCCATCAATGGGGCCGTCCCGAACTTGGAAGCCTTAATTGTTTATGTATGTCTCACTCTCTGATCTCACGCGATCTGTTTTCTTCTTGCAATCTGAGTTTCTCTCAATCAGATTGATCAGCACATGGCCGCACGGAAGCAATTGCGATCCAGCGAGGCCATTCTTCGAAGTTACGAGCCAAGTGTCAAAAGTCGCTTGGCATGTTTACGACTCTACATTGTTACACATCTCATTCATCGAGACCCAACCAACAACACAACTAACTGGGAGTTAATTGATCAACAGCTTGAATATGTCCGAAGCCAAAGTGAAGTATACAGAATTGCGTAAGCACAACCAGCTAAAATGACAATTTCACTTTATTCATTTTTGATATTAATTGCATACCAACAATTGTCTTTTGTAAGGTACGATCGGGTAGTGGAGGCTATTGATAAGGAGCTATTCGGTCAAAAGAAGAAGTTTGAGGACATACCTCATGAGGATATTAGGGTGCCAACTGAGGAGGATGTTCAAGAAGAGATGAAATCAATGTCTGGCGGTGCTCGCGGCACTCGAGAGAATGTCGCTCTTGACTGACTCACCATTGTATTCTGTCCTCCGGCTGAATCTCAGCCCATTCATTTCAATCCCCCCCTGAAAAGATGCACACAAGGTTGCCACTGTAGTTCTGCTTCCAATCATGTCAGACAAAAGACCACCCAATGCGACATTTCCTGTGTTGCCTTTAATCCATGTGAATTCCATATTTATTTCTTTCTGCATCACACACAAACCAGCCGTGCAGTCGGCTCCTCAACGTCTGATTGAGCCACCACCAAACGGTTTCAAAACCTGCGGGTTTTTCTGTAGAATCATCTGACCCGGTCTGCACAATGTCCGGGTCGGATCCACAGCCGTGCATAAAAACCCGATCTGTTGACCGGTCCATTTTGGCTTGGGGGGACTATCCGCCATTGATTGCCTGTGAACCAAACCTTGTGAATTGCCAAAGGCTCTCGGATGGTGGTACAGGAACTCGCAGCGTGCAGATGGGGTTAGGATCCGGTCGGATCCTATGAACCGCAATCCAGGCCCGCAGGCAGGCATGAAAGCCTTTGGTTGATTTTCCGGCTCAGGCCACTTTCGCGGTATTTTACCAGGTGTGTGGCGCTTTTTTGCGCGGAAAAAGGCCGCTGTTACTTTGGAAGGGTGAAGGGGTCACAGGTTCGACCGCTATTTGACCCCTGATTTCTAGTGGGGTCAAAATGGATAAAATGACCGCGAACTTCGTGGAAATTTGGCGTCGAACATGGGCGCCTGTGTAGTTAAGCTAGAGTAGAAAATCGCGCCAATCGCGCCATCACACCCTGACCCAACTAAAAATCAGGCTGTACAAGTACAGTACCTCTGACATGCTTGGTTGCATCTTGGTTTCCACCCTACACCACGGGTGCACTTGGGTGTCCTAGGGACATCACACAAAAATACGTCCTAGGTGTGTTCCGCATCCACTTAAAACAGAGATCCACCGTCACAACAGCCTCACAACGAGGCTATTGTGATGCCTTTTTAGGACCTGGGACGGCCTTGGGACAATGCCATCCCATGGCTGGACCCGAAATCCCCAATTGCACCCGCGGTGTACAATATACATATGTAGATGTCAACAACAGGCGAACTCAGTAAGAAACAAAACAAAACAAAATTTATTTCTTTCAAATTATCTACAGACTTCTCAGAAATGAAATCGCCTATGGATCTTATTTTCTTATTTCTATTTTCTGAACCAATAATATTTAGAAAATAGAAATAAGAAAATAAGGCCCGGATTATAAACGGTTTTTTGAAATATATTCAAAAGTTTTCGAAGTATTCCAACTTCTTCTTCTTTTTTTTTTTTTTCAAAAACCCACTCAAAAAATTTCAAACCAGCTCCGGAGGTGGTTTGAGATCTCAAAAACTGCATTTTAGAAATCAATACAGAAGTTGGGTGGGTATTGGATGACTTCCTGTCAACATCTGCGGGTCTCCCAGTTTCAATTTAGAGCTTCGAAAGCTAGATTTCCCTGCAAAAATCTAGACTTTTTGGGTCTAAATCGCAAACTGTGAGGGTCCCAGATCCGACGGGAAGTCCACCATTGGGTTGTATGGTATCAAGTCATACAGACTGGCCAATTGTAAAACTCACAACACGTATGACACCTCGGACTGTCATTGTCTGCCAAAATTTTCACACCCATTTGGCACCCAACGGAAGACGTACGGAATATGCAATCTCAAGAGCAATCAACCGGTAACCTCCTCAGCAAGGACGGACTACTCCAGCACTCATATTGGCCTCTCACTAACTTGAGCTTCCGCTGGGACAGCCGGACAAATGGGATGGGCCGCCATGTGCAAGAAGGCGCAAGAATGAATTGTCCCGCATGATAATTCCTCGGAACCATGACAACCCAAAAAAATGAAAAAAAATCTTCTGCAAGTGCATACTACTCATTTGGGTTTTTCCAACTTTGCCGCTGGGCCGGCGGGTGGGTGCACCTTGGATGAGTTTGGTACAAGGACCCACCCGCTGGGCTGGATTCCACCTTGGCAGACGGCTTGTAACTTCTAGCTAAGGACACTTTCTCCCAAGAGAGCATCCACAAGCGCCCGCTTTGTGGCTGCTTGTTTGGGAGGAAGCTTCCTTCTCCTTGGCCTTTACATGCTCGCTGAGGAAGATTCCTACTCGGGGAGCAGTTACAAGGTGTACCCATTCACCGAGCACTAGCAGGCTCCTTGGTGAGCAGGAATTGTAAAGTAATGGCCGGGGAGAGCTCCTCCCCAGTGAGTAGGCAATGGCCGCAGAGGAGTCCAACTTGGCAATGGGTGATTCCCATGGAGTAGTTCTCCTCGGCAAACAGGTACAACCTGTACAAGATGATCTCAAAATTTCCAAGAGTGTGCATTACATTTCAGATTATGGGTGCTTGGGTCAATCTTTACTCAAGACAACTATCATGCGGGACGTTTTGATTGCCGGCAAGAAGGCCAGGGCCAACAGATGAGATCGTTGGCCAATACAGACAGATTTCCGCAAGGGCACAGAAGTGGTGGGACACTCGCATCATCAACTCCCCCCTTGGTCAATCCTTTGAATCTTGGGCTGCCCCTGATTCCCTCATCCTCAAACACAAGAAGCCCCTGCCTGAATCCCTTCCTAGCATCAGCGGCCACATGCAAGATTATAGATGTCTTCTTCGACTTGCAAGCAGAACCACACTCGCGCGGAGATTGATACCAACAAAGCTATCACGGCGTCCAAGAAGGCGGAGAAGGCCCAAAAGGCCACGCAGAAGTTGGAGGCTCAAAGGCAGAAGTGGTCTGCCAAGGAGTCCCGCACGGTGTGGAACTCCAACGGTGCTGGCCGGTGGCAGTTGGTTGAGGGGAAGGTGCTGAGAAGCTGCCCTTTTTTAGGGTCCGGATACTTGAGCAGTGTGATCAAAACAAGAAGCGGTGAGGTTGGATTTTGTGAGAAGACAGCAGAATTGAGTTCTGCAGGCGGTTGTGTGGTTTGAGTTTGAGATCTGATGAAAATCTGGGAAAGATTGAGATGAGAATAGTTCAGAAGGTGAGAGATCAAGATCAATAAGGTTTCAATATCAAAAATGATGGGTCTATCTTGGATCAGATCAGAATGCCATGCCTCCCCCATCATCTCAGTTCAAACTGAACTTTGACTCTGGGGAGTGACATGTCACAGACATGTCATCACATCCCTAACTACAACACCAATCAACCAGAAACAAAAACAACACAACACAACACACACAACACAACAAAAGAACAAAAGAAGAACACAGAATAGAACAAACAAACAAGATCAGAATAAACCAACATAAATGAAACTATGTCTTAGGACCAAGAAATAAGAAACAACACTGTCTTCTGAGTAAATGATTTGAAAAAGATAAGTAAGAATAATAAAATGATAAAAAATAAAAATCAAATCAAATCAAGATGAATAAAAAATAACATGAAGAGTAAATAATAAGAGGAAATGAAATAAAATAATAAAATGAGGAAAACATTGGACTGAGTGGGGATTTGAGGTGATAATATTGAAATATCGAGTCTTGAGGATATTGAAAATTTGAAAGTTGAATTCTGAAATTGGACCTTGAGGGGGCCTGTACCGTTTAGAACACCACATCTCCTCACCACTTGCAGTCTGTCCCTAGACTGCTCTTCCCTTCTCCTACGCTTGAAACCTAAAGTAAAACCTAAAAAAAACCAAACCAACCAGGGGCCCATCCAGGTGCTCACAAATGTGGCATAAAGTAGAGTTTTTACAAAACGGTAGTAAATACCCTAGAGATGCATACATTGGGAGGACTTACTTTTGGTCAACTTTGCCTCCGCGGGGAAAAAACCTCTTGACCTGATCTGCTGAGAAACGCCGTGCAATTTCCGTGCCATCTAACTCCTCCAGAACATATGATCCACCTTGAACTTGACGAACCACACGATAAGGACCATTCCATCAATTTAAGAAAAGCTTTCCCCACTGAGATTCGAGAGACCGATTATAAGCCAGAACCAGCTCGCCTGGTTTCAAAGGACTCCTGATTCAATCGGATTTCTTATCTTCCCAGTATTGAACAGACTCTTCACGGGCCTTCATCATCTTTTGATAAGCAACTCCTCGGGTTTCTTCACTACGTTCCAGCTGTTGAGATCGTGCAACTAAAAGGTCGGCCGTGTCTTCTACTTCTTCCCAATCAATACCAAGGTAAGACTCCATTTCAAGATCAATAGGAAGAACTGCTCGCTGTCCAAAGACAAGTTCAAAAGGGGAATATCCAGTGGTTCTTTTGGTTGAAATCCGGTCGGCAAACAAAACAAGAGGCAGAAACTTTCGACAATTCTTTCCACTTTCACCAGCAAGCTTGACCAGCGCTGACTTAAGAGGTTTATGACCACGCTCGACCATTCCTTGACCTTCAGGATAATATGGAGTTGAAACACGGTGTTGACCTGGCATCAAACGTAACATCTCGGCTAGCTTGCCTCCGAATTCAGATCCTCCATCGGTGGAATACGAACGAGCTAGACCATACCGCATTGTCCAATTTTCATGAAGGAATGAAGCAACCGATTCAGAACTGAGATTATTGAGAAATTTGGCTTCAAACCAACCAGAGAAATCATCCCGAGCAACAATCAGATACTTGGCACCACTAGCTTTGATGTGAACTGCATCCATCGCCACACGTCCAAAAACAGTTGACTGGCCAGTAGGATAACAAACTTCCATCGGACGGCGTAGATCCCGCTTCTGACAAGCTTCACAACTCTTGCACCACTTAGCGACTGACTTCTTCAATGAGGGCCACCAAAAGCGTTCTGAGACTCTCCGATAAGTTTCAATTTCTCCACAATGACCAAGTTCCTCATGCAGCTTCGCGAGAACAAAATCCTGTTTAGCCGGAATGGTGATGACAATGCGAGCACAAGGACTTCCACGCTTCATGAGCCTTCCCAACTGAACAAAGAAATCCACAGACTTTTGCTTGAATGCTTGGAATTCCTTAGAGTTGAAGCCTTCAGGTTGCAACAACATCTTCAAATGGTCTTCCATCTGTCGCCAGTAACCTTCTTGGTATCCCGAGTAATCTTCACAAGGGCCTGCCGAATAAGACTTCAATGGCTTGATGTTTGGAATTTCTTCATCAAAATCGGAGGGCGGATCAGATTCGTCATCGCCACGTGGCCGCCGAGAAAGACCGTCTGGCATAGTGAAAGATTTTCCGGGTCGGTGAACAATATCAAAAGAAAAGAGCTGAATAAAGGCAACCCAACGTGTCATCGGTGCATTTGGGAGACTTGGAGAATTGATCATTTGAATTAGGGAATGTGCATCAACTTGAAGCTCAAAGTGCTGGCCCCATAAGATTGTCTGGAGTTTCTTCAAGATCCGGGATACACCACAAAGTTCCAACTTGGGTTGAGAGTACCTAGATTCGACGTCCGAAAACAGAAGGGACTCGTATAAAGCGGGCCGATCCAAACCATTTTGATCTTCCTGCGTAAGAACAGCACCAGCAGCATGAAAACTAGAATCGACTGCAAGCTTGATTTTTCCTGCCTCTGGTCCATAATCGATCTTGACCAAAACGATGTCTTTCCCAACAATAGTCTTGAGGAGTTGAAAGGCCGCCTCACAATCGTCCGTCCAAGTCCAAACTGAATCCTTTCGAGTAAGGCGACGGAGTGGCAAGCAGATCTCGGAAAGTGATGGGATGAAAATTCGAACATATACAACCAAA